CTCTCTCTCTCTCTCACACACACACACACACACACGCACACAGTTTTAGTTTGTTACATTTCACTGAATAAACCTGTGCTGCAGCCTGATTCATTGGTGGATAATATAAAATTTGATCATGGGTATACTGCTAAAAGTCCTGCAATTGTAAATGTAAGTGCGCTATATGCATTTCAATATCTGAATTGGCCTTCTGTAAGTTTAGTTACTTAATTGCTCTACATGTTTGTAGCTACTCGAGATCATGGCTGAATTCACCCCAGAGCAACAACATGCATTCTGCCAGTTTGTAACTGGTGCTCCTCGGCTTCCGCCTGGTGGTTTAGCTGCCCTTAATCCCAAGCTTACTATAGTTAGGAAGGTAACATTCTTGGTATATCTTATTAGCATGTTATAACGTATGAATATTGTCGCCTCATTTTGGGTGATATAACTTTGTTGTTGCTTTTGATCATTAGCACCCCTCAAGTGCGGTGAATACTTCAAATATCGCTGGAGTTACAGAGTCTGCAGATGATGATCTGCCAAGTGTTATGACATGTGCTAATTATCTTAAATTGCCTCCATACTCCACAAAAGTACGGTTTCTTTCTCTGGTACATGGTGAATTTTTCGTTTTCTCTTGTACATGTGCTAATTATCTTAACTGGCTTTATGCTTTTGCTTTTTGCAGGAAGTGATGCGCAAGAAATTGCTTTATGCGATCCTAGAAGGCCGTGGATCATTTGATCTATCATGAGTTGATGATAACTAACATACAGGGCTCACCATTGAATGCCCTATCAATTTTATCCAGAATTAGTTTCTTTGTTGCCCGTGTGACATAATAGGTTGAGGCTACCAGCCGCTGTGGACAAAGCTTGAAGGACAGAGTCTCCCTTCAGACACAGGTGCTGAACTGGAGTATTTCTCATGTTAAATACTCCCATATATATAAGCTGATACATAAATAGATAATGTAGTATTGGTTTTTGCAGTGAAATCAAGTTCCATATATGTGGCGTGGGCAGCCTCGCGAGCACCGAGAAGAGGAGCTCTATCCTTTGCCGTACATGTAAATAAAGAAAAAAAAAGAAGGGGCAATAGTAGTTTACATATTTGTCGAAAGAAGGATTGATTCGTTGGTGAAACCCTTTGCTGTGTATCTGGAATGTTATTACTTTGCTATTATTATGTTGTTAACCATCATGTGTACATGTGTGATCGATAATATCGTACTGTTTTTGTACTAATAAATGTGGTGTAGTGCTAGTACATAGACGGTATTGTCTTGCCCCCCCCCCCCCCCCCCCCAAGGAGCGAAAAGCAAAGATTTTGCTCAAAGACGACATCAGTTAGCTCCGAATCATTTATATAGCTCCGAATCATTTAGCTCCAAATCATTTATATAGCTCCGAATCATTTATAGTAAATCTAATAGACAATTCATATGTATAATAGTTAACTTATGTACTACATCATTAATAATTAGTTCTATTATACACATATAATGGGCTTGTTTGGTTTAATACCATCTTATTGCCTTATCCAATAGTACCCAATGTTAGTCACTAATAAAATTTTGGTAGGGCAAAAATTGGTTCCGAATCAAACAAGCCCAATGTTTCCTTTCTAATCCACACAAATTTGCAGTTCGTTCTCTTCTTTCTTATCTACTTAAAAGCCATAATTTACTTTGCAAGAACTACCTCCCCAGTATGTGGCATGTGAAATGTTCAAATCAGTTTCAACTCTATTTGCTACTACAGTAGTATCTTGCAACACATTCCTACTAGTGTATTTATTTTCGTTTATAGTTTCCAGAAGCTATGTCCTCTTTGATTCAAAGGAAAGTTAAAGTAATTTTTGGAGGAATTCATTCCTATGGGATTTTTCCCCTAGATGATCCTTTTTCAAAGGAATGAATAAAATTGAATCCTATGAAATCTTATGGAATACTCATGCCATACAAGTTTTGGAGGAAATTTAACATGAGGTAAAACCTCATGGAAACTTTCCTTTAAATCTTTCTCTCTTCTGTAATTCTTGTATTTTTTTATACGGTCGAAACAAACGGTCGTTCCTATGTTTCGTAATCCTACGATTTAAAGAGGTCCTAAAAAGAAAGTTATCTAAAAAAAAGGTTAAAAAGCAAGTCATGTTGGTGTGTGTGAGAGAGAGAGAGAAGCCAACCAAATGTAAGCCCACCATCCAGATAGAGGGAAGACCAACCAAAGAGAATAATAATAAATAAATAAATAGTCTCGGTCCACCGTCGTCGTCGTCTAGGGTTTCCTCCTCCTTCCCAGCGGAGATCAAGAATCAGAAGCAACAGCTATGGCGGCGGCGGCGGAGGGTGAAAAGAAGATGATAACGCTGAAGAGCTCGGATGGAGAGGAATTCGAGGTGGAGGCGGTGGGCATGGAGTCTCAGACCATCCGGCACATGATCGAGGATAAATGCGCCGACAATGGGATCCCCCTCCCCAACGTGAATTCCAAGATCCTCTCCAAGGTTATCGAGTACTGCAACAAGCACGTTCACGCCTCCGCCGACGACTCAACCTCCTCCGCTGACCTCAAGAACTGGACGCCGACTTCGTCAAGGTCGACCAGGCCACCCTCTTCGACCTCATCTTGGTAACCCATTCCCTCTCCACTCCCCGCTCTCCTCTCCTCTCCTCTCCGATTATTTTTTTTATTTACATACAGCGCAGAGTTCGTCCAGATCTATCTAGGTTGCACTCTTCTCCCTACCCTAGGTCTTGGCTTTACCAATATACTCCAGTAGTAGTATATTTCTATATTGGTACTACTCCACTACGTCTTAAATAAGTAACTACTCCCTCCGTCCCAAAATAAGTGCAGCCATGGTTTTCCGCGCCGAACTTTGACTGTTCGTCTTATTTGATTTTTTTTTAAAAAAAATTAAAAACATAAGTCACGAGTAAAGTACTATTCATGTTTTATCATCTCATAGCAATAAAAATGCTAATTATAAAAAAAATTTAAATAAAACGGACGACCAAAGTTGGGCGTGGAAACTCATGACTGTGCTTATTTTGGGACGGAGGTAGTAGATGATTTATTATGCCTATGTGAATCTGGTTGCGTGTTGTTAGCACAGCTTATCTGATGATTATTGCGTGTCCTTGTTTTATCTCCCAAATCAAACCCATTGTGTACAACTCTAGGGGCTGCCATGCTTTTTATTTCCATTTATTTCAACTAGTGCTCTTCTTTTCTTGTGCTTGGGGACAATGTTGATGGGTGGTGGGTTTATTACTCTTCTACCAGTAACGCTGTCAGTTTGTGTCAATTGATACTGTCTTCACTTTTAACATCCATAAATGCATTGGCTTGCTAAGCCTTAGGTTGTGTTTAGTTCCTTCCAAAGTTGGAAGTTTAGGTTAAAATTGGTACGATGTGACTGAAAAGTTGTGTGTATGACAGGTTGATGTGATGAAAAAAGTTGGAAGTTCGGATCTACTGTCTTTGTGGCTCAAATCTATTGTATGCTTCCTTGTCTCCCCCCCTCCCAAAATGGACCCTTCTAGGTTTTCCTAATGCATTATATGTTTTTGTTACTGTTGCAACATACTTGGCAGTACAATTGATGCTCGGACTTATATTTATTGTGCTAGCCTTTAAATTTATAATCATGGTACCCTTTTTAAACATGTGGATATATTGATGTTCAATTCATTTAGGCAATGTGGTTAAGTGATCCTTCTGTCATTAATTGTCTACTTGTCTGTTGTGACAGCTTAGTGCTTTTTTAGAAACCAACAATTAACTGTGACTAGTGGGCTAACGTTACCTAATAATTGGTTCCATACTTGTTACTTTCCTCTTACCTCCTAATTACCTGTATTTTCTCTAGGGATAGTGCACATGTATCCATGTTTAATTGGAGGATTTGCTGCTCTTTAAAAGGACAATAGATGTTTGATAGTATTTAACTACCAAGTCCCTTGACATGTTAGTGGCTTCCTGTATTAGTCTGTCTCAATGGATTTTCCACATATATACATAATAAATAGTGGAAAAATATGTTGCCCTTGAAGAAGCAAAGAGCTGTTTGGTATGTAATTGTGAAGCATGTGTTGATAAAATGTTTAGTTTTATTGTTGTTAACCTGAGATATATAGATCTGACTTGTGAAGTACTTGCCTAACACACGGATGAATTGGTCCACCTGATTTGCTCTTTGGAAACATAATGTATGCCTGCTTACCTGCCTTTGTTATTCTGTTCCAGTTTTAACTCAAGTGTGCCTAGATGTGTTGATTATTTTCTGTATGTAGAAAGGAAGAAAGAAATTGATTGTCCACCTCTTGCAGGCTGCAAACTATCTCAACATCAAGGGATGGGATTGCTGGATCTGAGTTGCGCAGACCGTTGCAGACATGATCAAGGGCAAGACTCCGGAGGAAATCCGCAAGACCTTCAACATCAAGAAGGACTTGGCCCCTGAGGAGGAAGAGGAGATCCGCAGGGAGAACCAGTGGGCGTTTGAGTAGAGATGCAGCAGCTGCTACATGTGGCCGGTCGGTTGCAATGGTTGTAATTATTTTGGAGTGAGAATGAATGGTGGGGTGGGGGGGGGGGGTGTGGTTAGTGAAGGAAGGATGAAATGAAATGGGGGTTAGGTTAACTAGCTGGTTTATGAAGTATGGGTATGGAAGGGAAAACAAAAACTGAAGATTGTTACTATAAGGATGTTATGTGCGGCTGCCTAGACTGCAGTTGATATCGTCTGGTGGATGGATGATTTATTACTGGGATTATAAAGTCATCTGATTGTCGTCCATTGTCTCAGTGTCTGTCTGTCTATCTATCTAATCTGTGCCGCAGTAGTGTTGGAGGAAGTGCCAGGTGGTGAGGCAGCAGCGAGTCCAGGCCAAGCCTTGGCCTGGAGGAAAGAAAGAAAGAAAGATGATAAGGCGGCTGGGTGTGTCTGGTCTCTCCTGGTGTTGGTTGCCACACGTATATTTGGGCCCCTTATCCATCCATGATTTTGTTTTGTTTTGCGAATAATTTTGGCGCCTCAAGTTAGCCGATAAAGTTGGGAGTAGTACACTAGTAGTATACTAGTAGTAGAGTGAGCTCAAGACAAGAAGCAGTAGCGAGTCCAAGGCAAGGCAAGGCAGGCGAAAGCAAAACAAGAAATGGCGAAGCCGATATCGATCGAGGTGTGGAATCCGAGCGGAAAGTATCGCGTGGTGAGCACCAAGTCCATGCCCGGCACCCGCTGGATCCGCCTCCTCGCCGACAACGACTGCCGCCTCGAGGTAATCCTTTCCTTTCCTTCTTAGGCAGCGATTACTTATTGCATTACAATTACACTAGTAGTGGAGAGTCAATTCATTCCTTGCTTCAGATCTGCACGGAGACGAAGACCATCCTCTCTGTCGACGACATCCTCGCCCTCATTGGCGATCGCTGCGATGGTGTCATCGGCCAGGCAAGCAAAGCAATTGCAATCCAATAATTTTGATTGATTTCTTCTTGTTGATAACAAATTAAGTGCAGCTGACGGAGGAGTGGGGAGAGGTGCTGTTCTCGGCGCTGAAGCGCGCCGGCGGAACAGCCTTCAGCAACATGGCCGTCGGGTACAACAACGTCGACGTGGAGGCCGCCAATAGGAACGGCATCGCCGTCGGCAACACGCCTGTCAGTTCTGCCGCCCTCTGCTTCTTGATTTCTAGACTATCTTACTGGATGGTAATTTACTTACATACGTACACATGTACAGGGCGTTCTGACGGAGACGACGGCGGAGCTGGCCGCGTCTCTGTCGCTGGCGGCGGCGCGGAGGATCGTGGAGGCAGATCAGTTCATGAGGGCTGGCCTCTACGACGGATGGCTCCCGCACCTGTCTCTCTCTCTCTCTCTCTCTCTTTACTTTTACTACTGCTGCTAGTTGATAGATACTCATATATGTATATATGTATATATGTGCATGCAGGTTCGTGGGGAACTTGCTCAAGGGTCAGACTGTGGGAGTCATCGGAGCTGGTCGAATCGGCTCAGCTTACGCAAGAATGATGGTTAGTTCAGTTGGTACCTTACTAGCTAGGACTATTATTATTATAGTAGGAGTAATTATTTGTTCAATTTCGCAATTGCACCACAAAATTACTCATGTAAACATTTCCTTTTACCACAGATCGAGGGCTTCAAGATGAACTTGATCTACTACGACCTGTATCAGTCCACGCGCCTTGAGAAATTCGTCACAGGTATGCATCCAATTTTATAGTACTGGCTAGTTAATTTGTACTCCCTCCGTTCTAAATTGATCTACATATTTCATAGGTACACCAAGATCAATAAAAACTAATAACTCTCTCATACTATATTTACTCTAGCAACAAATTCAATGCATGCACCATCCCTAATATTTTCTAGCCAATAGCAAATCAAAATATTGCATGTGGGTTATAAATACTTGTGTGCATGGATGCATGCATCAATGTCCATTTACTCCAATGCACAAATAACGAATAGACTCTAATAAATGAACACAAATGTGTAGATCATTTAGAAATAATCTAAAAAACTATATGTAGATCAATTTGGAATGGAGGGAGTACGACATTAAGATAGATAGATTAGATTAGATTAATTAATGACCTGCACATTGATTTGAATGCATATGCATGTAGCTTACGGGCAGTTCCTGAAAGCAAACGGAGAGCAGCCTGTGACATGGAAGAGAGCCGCCACCATGGAGGATGTCCTCAGGGAGGCCGACGTGGTCAGCCATCTCTCTCATCGTCTCTTCTTTCTTTCTTCATTCTAATTATTAAGATGTTGATTAATTATGCAAATAAATGCTTGTGCATATATATATATATGTATGTGGCAGATTAGTCTGCACCCTGTGTTGGACAAGACCACTTACCATCTGATAAACCCGGAAAGGCTGGCCATCATGAAGAAGGTGCCTGCCTCTCTGCCTCTGTTAATTTCTTCTCTCGGTCCTCTTGATACTGTAGTACTATGCAGTGGGTAATTAACAGAGCATGTATACAAATAATCTAAATATAAAAATACAGGAAGCGGTTCTTGTGAATGCAAGTCGAGGACCGGTGATTGATGAGGTAGCACTGGTGGAGCACCTCAAGGCCAACCCCATGTTCCGCGTCGGTCTTGATGTGTTTGAGGATGAGCCTTACATGAAGCCCGGCCTCGCTGACATGAAGAATGCCGTCGTCGTACCTCACATCGCATCTGCCTCCAAGGTCCACTACCTGCCTGCTGCATCTGCTTATATATATATATATGCCTAGCTAGCTTGTTTTATTTTCTTTCTTTCTTTCTTTCTTCCCATAAAAATATCCATCCATCTTTACGTACTACTACTCCTACAACTACTAGTAATATGAATCAAAAAGGTACTGACTAATATAGTATATAATTTGCATCATTCTCCAATTCTCCAGTGGACGCGCGAAGGAATGGCAACACTTGCTGCTCTAAACGTTCTTGTAAGTACTCCTTCCATATGCATGCTTAATTAGCCTCAGCCCAAATATTATACTATTGATGATGAATGGAACACACACTGTGTGAGTGGGTCTGTCTGTCTGTGCATGTTTGTATTTGCACTAGATCGATTATATAAACCTGCTGATACGGTAATAATAATAATAATGCAGGGCAAGATCAAGGGTTATCCGGTTTGGGGGAACCCGAATCTAGTGGAGCCATTTCTCAAGGAGGATGCAACGCCGCCAGCTGCTTGCCCCAGCATTGTTAATGCCAAACAACTCGGTCGGTACTACTACGTACCGTTAGTTAATTCCTATTCATTGCCTAGTTAAAATTAACTTTAACTGCATGCGAATATATATGCGATGCAGGCCTGCCATCGTCAAAGCTCTAAGAACTGGAGCTCGGTCCATCATATTATATCTGTCGGTTCAAGATCATACTCCACTACATGAAGTCTAGATCGAGGTGCATATGCTTGCTGTTCTAGCGGAGCGGGCAACAAGCTGTCAGCCAGACTTTTGATATCTAATTTCACACACACACACACACACACACACACACATATATATATATATATATAATATACTAGCTAGCTTCAATTCCTTGTTATTATACCACTAGTACGACTGTAATTTTGTGAGTCTTAAAACATGCGAGCTACATGTATGTTATTACACCCGTACTAGCTACTACTGTAGATTAATTACTGTTACGAAATGAAGATACCCTAGCTGCCTGTTTGGGAAACGTACGATTAATCATCAATGACAAAGATTTACAGGGCTCTAGCTAGCTAGCACTAGCAGCCTGCGGAGAGAGAGAGGAATTAATTGATATTAGTAATAACTAGCACATACATATGCATCCTTGCGTATAGTAAGTGGAGTAAGTTTATAAGGGAAGAAATAATTAAGGGAAAACCTGGCTTAGCTGAAGAAGAGCAAGCAATACTATTATATTATATAATCCAATAAAAGTTGAAACAAAAAAGAGGGAGCAAATTAAAGCAAAAGCTAGATATATATAATATAATAATGATGGACAGAGATATATAGTTAGTCGAGGAGGAGTTTCTTGACGTAATTATCGTAGACGAAGTCGGTGAGGATGCTGTAAGCTTTCTCGGTGGGGTGGTAGCTGTCCCAGAAGAGATAGTCGGAGACGGGGGTGCAGACGGAGGAGGTGAGGGCGTTGCAGAGGACGGAAACCTCCAGGAGGCCAGTGCCGCAGCAACCCATGGTGGAGTCGCTGAAGCCGTACGCCCGTGGACGCATCATCATGTCCATCAGGAAGCCGTAGATGTCCATGAAAACAAGCTTGGTCTTGGTGCTCTTCTTCTTGGCCTGCATCTCCTCCATCCTCCTCTTCATCCCGGCGTTGTACGCCACCGCGATCTGGTTGTGCCCCTCCGAGCAGCGCCTCTCCATGCCCCCCGACATGGTCCTCTGCGACGGCACGCACCCGATGGGCGGCATCCCGATGATGGCCACCTTCCTCGCCCCGGCCTTCACCAGCTCGTCCACGAACGCCGCCGCGTGGTGCACCAGCAGCGCCGCGTACGAGGCGTGGTCGTAGCCGGGCCTCGCCCGCATGGTGAAGTAGGTGTTGGCCACGTCGTCGCTGCCGGCGCAGATGGCGAAGATGCCCCTGGTCATCATGTCCGCCACCCGCGCGTCCCCGGCGGCGCCGCGCACCCGCTCCTTGTACTGCTGGAACAGCAGCAGCTGGTCGGGCATGGAGATGACGGAGGCCAGGCGAGGCGTCAGCGGGTCGAAGCCGGTGCCCCCCGACGCGAAGCTGACGCCGGTGAGGAGCTCCTCAGTCGACAGCTCCGGCGACAGGTACGGCGGGAGAAGCTCCTTCAGACCAAGACGGGAAGCTGCATATGCATTCCGATCGATCCGTTGTTAGTTGTTGTTGTGCATGCATGTACTCCTATGAGAAATGAGAATTGACAAGAGAAAGAAAAGCATGTTGCTAGTTACCGATGAAGTCGGTTGGTATGCGTCCGTTGCAGAATCTGCCGGTGGGGGTGTGGTTGTGGAAGTCATGGCCGTAGGGAGGGAAGTTGGCCTTGATGATGGTGTTGATGCCGTTGTTGTTCCCCGGGTCCACGATCGAGTCCCCAAACACGATCAGCGCCGGCGATGACGCTGCCTGCACCACCACCACCGGCACCGCCGCCCACAACACCATCACCACCAATGCCGCCGCCGCGCTACTGCCTCCTCCCATTCTCATTCTATCTCTACACGCTCTACGTACTGCCAGCGAATTGAATCTAAGCACAGCACCGCGCACTCTCAGTAAAATTAAAGTAGCACCAGGCAGCTAGCTATGTTTGTCTAGTATTTATAGACGACCAAATTCAAGCATGATTTATCGTTGGCGTGCACTGCACTTAACACCGCCGCTCGCAACATATATTTTCAATTTGCATCAACCTAGCTACTATTATTACGTACCCCGTACTAGATAGAGTTGGCAACCTACGTACGTACTGTACCAGTACAACCCATACTAGATACTCCATCCGTTTCAAAATATTTGACACCGTTAACTTTTTAGCACATGTTTGACCGTTCGTCTTATTCAAAAAATTTGTGAAATATGTAAAACTATATATGTACATGAAAGTATATTTTACAATGAATCAAATGATATAAAAAGAATAAATAATTACTTAAATTTTTTTAATAAGACGAATGGTCAAATACGTACTAAAAAGTTAACGGCGTCAAACATTTTGAAACGAAGAGAGTATATAGTACTATGATCACTAGGAGTTGTTTTCTTGCACATCATCTAAATAGTTATTATTTTTTATATACACGACTTCAGATATAATTGTAAACGTGCGTTGACTAGTTTCAGTTGACCATTCGTTGGCACCGCAACATTACGCACTGACTTTCTAGCCTTGGAATCGAACACGGCTTGCATATATAGATACCGGCCGGTGATTAGCTCAAACCAACCAGGCAACAGAAAGTCAATATTTAGGAAAACATATAATATAACACTATACGAGATTATGTTTAAAACGTCAATAATTTTAAACTGGAGGGAGGATTACTGACAGAATATCACAAATTGCTACTACGATTAACGAGCTAATTAGTGGATACTTAGTACCCCTGGTATCTAGATTCGACAACACATAGTAGCGGATAGGGAATGAATTCTAATGAGAATGTTCTGTTATGTATTTTTTTAAAAAAAACTCAATAATAATACAAATAGTTGTTAAAAGTTCCAAAAAAATAATGTAGAGTACGGTGACATCTATCAGTAAAAAAAAAATTAGTCCAATCTACACATCTCTACTATTATAAAAATTGAAGATGTTTTTTTGCCGATACTTTGGTACGTCACCTATGTATGAGTCGGTTTTTTACGTTCGTTCACTTTTGGAAATACAAATCTGTATGTGAGTCGGTTTTTAAATTCGTTCGCTTTTGGAAATATAGAAGAAATCGTATAAGAAATAATGATCGGGCTCCTAATTGCAGCTTATAATTTTCTAACAATATATATATTCAAGTGAATTTCACCTTAACTAACCCATATAACAATAATAAATAAAATAGCTTTCACCAGTTGCAACTCACGGGTATTTATAAAAATTGAAGATGTTTTTGCCGGTAGTTTGGTACGTCATCCATGTATGAGTCAGTTTTTAAGTTCGTTCGCTTTTGGAAATACAAAATGAATTGTATATGAAATCTGTTTAAAAAAATTGGCATGCTAACTTGAGACGATCGGACTCCTAATTATAGCTCATGATTTTCTAATAAAATATATATCCGAGCAAATTTAACAGTGAATTTCATCTTAAATAAACCATATAACAATAATAAGATTAAAATAGCCTTCACCCGTTGCAACACACGGGCATTTTTTCTAGTTGAAATAAAAATTCAGATACGAACAATACGCTATTATTCATACATTTCGATGTGTGAGTTGACTTTGGATCTAAGATTTTATAATGTGGTATACGTGTGTATGTCATGGAGTGTTATCAAGTGTTATGAGATTTTTTTTCCATAACTATTTAAATAAATTTTAAACAAACAAGGAGACATCCTCTCCTGGATAAAAATAGTTGCCCTAGTACATACTACTTGATGGATAGAAACCTGCAAATAAACAGTGCACATGGGCGAGTAAATGGCTGCCTGTCTGCCTTTGATCCAGTACCGCATTCAATTCAATCGTCTGCTCTCCTCTTCTCCCATTGGCATTCAATTCATCTTCACTAGTGGGTGGGTATGTGTGTGTTGGGGGCAGTACAATTTCTTTTGGACCAGGCCAGCATGAGCATGCAGCATCGAAGAGCAAGTTTAAATAGTATAGCTAACTATGCGCTCCAATTCTTCTATAGCCAATTTAATAGCTCATTTATACAATAAGAATACTATACTACTAATATATGGTCCTACCTTTCATACACACACAATGTATTAGAGTCTGTGCTACAGCTGACTATAAATCTGTAGCTCGCTTTACTTCTCTCTTCTTTTCTCTCCTCCACATGTGTATACAGCTGACTTGTAGCCTGCTACTGTACTCGCTCTAAAGTAAACTGTGACTGAGCCAGTATGCCATTGATAGATCTGCCATAGATTTGCATGCATATTTGAGCAAATACTCGTAGAAATCACTGGGTCTGGGTGACTGGGCCTGTGGGCTCCCACACCAGCTATCCAAGCATTCCAAGTACTAGTGTTACTGTACTACTCCTACATACTACGCCAGCGTCCGGACGGACAGTATAGCTGTGTTTAGATGGAGGAAAAGGTGAAAAATTAGGAGAAAGTTAATAGTTTAGAGAAAAAGTTGTTAGTTTATATGTGTAGAAAAGTTTTCGATGTGATGTGATATGATAAAAAGTTGAGAATACGTACCAACTCGATCGATCAATCGATAGACGTGTATTAAGTACTACGAACAATACGTACCTCCAACACAGGGTGGGTCTGCATAAAGTACTACGTACCTCTCCATCACATTTTAGTGTAACTTTGGATTTCTGTGTTCAATATTTGACCATTTATCTTATTTAAAAATTAATAATTTTTTTAAAATAATAATCACACATAAAATAGTATTCATGTTTTTATCATCTAATAATAAAAAAATAGTAATCATAGAACTTTTTTAAATAAGACGAACGATTAAATATTTGACATAAACAATGTAAAACCATGATGTTTCTGCTACGGAGATAGTAGTACTACGGTATGCATTGACACACAGACCCCATCGACCACCACGAATGGTATTGATAGTAGATGCACCAATGTAGCAAACACGGCAGCTAATTCACCTTGGGATACTGTCCTGGTGATTGGAGTAGTCGTTGGTTTGACCCATCGTTGCTGCATATGCCTGCGTAATTGGGTCCACAACAACTGCTCGCTTCTACGTACTTCTACGTACTCCCTCTGTCAAAAAAAAAAAATTTAAAGGGTTTTAGATAGATGTGATATATCATATACTCCCTTCGTCTCATAAAAAGTCAACCTAATATTTGATGAGATGTTTTTTAGTCCAATGAATATTCTGAATATGAGTCTGTCTAGATTCGTTAGACTAGAAAACATCACATCCAATACTAGGTTGGCTTTTTATGGGATGGAGGGAGTACGTTTATCGAAATTTATTGTACTAAGATATGTCACATCCACCTAAAATCTCTTATATCATAGGACGGAGGGAGTAGTAGGGCCTGCTGCTGTGATATTCAGCTTAGTGGCCGAGGGATCTAGTTGGTAGAGAAGATGAACAGGAGAGACAGAAAAAAAGGAAGAAGGATAATTTGGTGTAAAAATTCTAGAAATTATATTGAAGAGGTAAGTAGTGGCATATTTCAAATAACAGTAAAATTGTAATGGTATTACTTCAGATAAATGAATAGTAATGATATATTTTAAAACCGTAAAAGTTACACTGACATACTCCCTCCGTAAAAAAAAAGCCAATCCTAACATCCCAAGACAAAAATAATGGAGATGAAGAATGACTAAAATGTCAGGTAAATGGTATTGAAGTGATAAAATTTAAACTCTAGAAGTTAAAGTTTTTGGATGGAGGGAGGAGATCTAATTAAGCCTATAATATACTGGTCATTGTTGTTAATCTTCCGACCATAATAACAATATAAAAGGTCGTTCCAGCTAGCTAGCCAGCCAGCGATCAGTCAGATCGACTCCAGAGCAGAGCCATTGGACGATATCGATGGACCTGACCTGCAGGCTGCAGCATCTGCGTGCATGTGTTGCATCTATCTACATCTGCACGCATCACATAAATTGATCATAAATTCCATCTATGGACCTTAATTGCTTTCACCCTCACCAAGCTTCTGTATGATATGACTACTGAGCTATACTCCCTCCGTAAGGGCATCTCCAACTGGATGGCCAAATAGCTATTCAAGTCAAAATTTAGCTAACTTAGAAAAAAAAAATGCTCCAACAGACTTACTAATTGGATGGCTAAGTTATTTGGCTGGCTAAATTCCTCACCACACTTGCCAAAGTTGGCCAGCCAGAGGGCTTGCCATCGGTGTGGGTCCCACACCCTCTCTCCTTTCTCTCTCCCTCTTTCCCCATCCCGTCTGCTGCTCCCTCCCTGCTCGCGGCGCCATCCGCCCGGTGCCGCCGTCGCCGTCCACCCGGCGCCGCAGTCGTCGTCCTCCCGGCGCCGCCGCCGTCATCCTCCGGCGCTGCCGTCGTCCATGGAGCCGAGTGAGAGGCGGCGCAGGGAGAAGATGCCCGTGGGGTCGAGCTGCACGGTTTGGTGGACCATGATGTAGCGCAGCTCCTCATCGAGAAGCACCATGGCGAGCTGCACGGCGACCCCGGTGGAGGAGGAGGACTCCGCGCCGCCGCCGCCGCCGCCGCCGCCGCTGCCGCGCGCGAGGAGCTCGACGGCCGGTGCTTTCTCTGAGCTAAGCCATGGCAAGAAAGGCACGAGAGGAAGAGGAAGAAGAAGAAGAAGAGGAAGGAGAAGAGCAGTCAGGGCACGGGGATCAGTGGCAAGCCAATGGGGGCAGCTTCTTCTTCGATGCAGCATCTGTTCTTGCTCTGCCGCCTCCTCGGCTTCTGCTTTGCGTTCACGGCGAGCCAGCAGCAGCAGTCGGACTCGTGTAGCAGCGCCGGCGTCGCGGTCGCGCATCTCGCCTTCTGCTGCCTGACCGTCTGGAAGCAGGAGGACTTCGTCCTGCGGGTGTGTATGCTACTGAATTTTGCAGTCCTACCAGTTATTGGAATTTTACTGCGTACCAATTTCATCTCGGTGATTTTTTTTTATTTTGGATGTCATTGCCAATGCACGCCTGC